GGCCTCCCTGGTGGAGACAAATGAACACCACCCCACCCTCTTCCTCAGCTGCCTGGACATTAGCTATCTCCCCCACCCCACCCACAGAGTAAAATCACGTGACCCAGATCCTGATAGCACCCCTCCAGTTCAGAAACACATGCAGACTATCCAGGAGAGCAGAAGGCCCAAGCTTCTCCCACCATCTGATCCAATCACAGGCCTCAATCCTATACCCCATTCCCCTGGCCCTAAGGCAATGAGGGTCTGAAATACCTGATCACAAAGCATCACACCTCCCAGCCCCAGAATGCAGGCCACATGCCAGGTTTACCAGCAAAATGCTCTGATTCTTCCTCACAGCACACCTCTAGCCAGACTCTGACCTCCCTCACACCCTCTAGAACACACCTGCTCCTGGTTGGGGACCGAATTCCAAGGCTGGAGTTGCAGACCAAGGCTTAGGAGATGGGAGAGAGCCCTGTACTTACAGAGACCTCTGGGGCTTCGCAGACCCAGGAACGAGGCCCTCCTCACAGGGAACGGAGAAGGGGTCTGGCTCATTCACCTCAGGGCTGGGAAAGGCACTTCTGCTGCCTTGAGGAGCCCCCCCGGCTGGGCTGCAGGGTCTAGCAGGCAGTGCCTCAGCTAAGGGCATCCCAGGCTAGGAGGCCCCAGAGAGGTTTCCACTCCACTGACCGAGTCAACAAAAGGGGCACAGGCACATTGGAAGAACATTCCAGAAATTTACTGGCTACAGATAGGGGTGGTGATGAAGGACCATCCTAAACAGAGTAAATGAAGAAGTTACTATATAGAAAAAAACATGAAGAAACATCTTCTCCCCTCCCCGACAAACACTCCCAGGGCAACAGTGTCAGAAGCCACAGACAAAAGCCAAGTGAACAAAGTACTACATTTCTGTCGACATTTCACTAATCGAGTGAGAGACAGCGATACCTTGCCTGCTTCCTCTCTGTAATGCCTGATGGGAAACACCCAGTAGATGAAGCAGCTGAGGGTCACTGGGGCCCATGGTTGTTCTCCTTGCTCTGCCTGCCTGCTCCTTCCACACTGGTGTCCAGGGATGGCCCTGAGGGGTCTTCACATCTCAGCTGCCCCCAGAATCACTGTGCAACAAGCCTGGGTAATCCAATTTAGCCAGAGTCCCTAGAAGTTCATGCCAGGCCCAAAGGCCACTAGGCAGCCTGTGCCACACTGGTTAGGCTACACCTAACCTAACCCCACTGCCACTGAGTCAACGCCCAATCAGCGCCCTTGTAAGATAGAGTAGAACTGACTCACAGCATTCCCAAGGCTGTAATCTTTACCGAAGCACACTGCCACATCTTTCTCCCTGAGTGGCTGGTAGGATCAAACCGCTGACCTGTCGGTTAGTAACTGAGTGCTTTAACCACAACACTACCAGAGGTCCTTCCAGTTAGGGTGCTGGTAGTGGTGGTAAGTGCCATTGAGTTGGTTCCAACTCCTAGGGTTTCCAAGGAGTAGTTGGTGGGTTGCAACTGCCGACCAGTCTGATACAATTGGGACATACTAAAAATACACTTGCTGTTTACCTGAAATTCCAATTTAACTGGGGAGCCAAGATTTTATTTGCTAAATCTGGCCTGGACCAAGTGACATGACAGTACCTGGAGGCCACCTGAGAGCCTGTCTCTGGAAGCTCTGCTGGGGTCACCCAAACGGCTTCAGCCTGTTTCCGCTCCTAGATCACTGGGCCCCCACTTCCTGCCCAAAGAACAGACTTCAGTGTCAGAAACAAAAGCCTTGACAATCAAGGGCCCCAACAGCAAAGGCAGTAGTGGGTTTCTACCAGCCACCCCTGCTTTAAAATCCGGCTTTCATTGTAAATCAGATCCCTTCCCTCTCCCCAGTCCCTGCTGATGGCACAGCTCTGCAAGGTCCCTTCTTAAGGGGCGCAGCCCTGTTCTATCTGACCCTAAGCCCCTGGAGGGTGACATTCCTCTCCTCCACTATTTTCGGACTGAAAGTCTATTAAGGGTCCCAAGTTAACATGGGTCTGAGTCCAGGCATTGTGGAGACGGTACCCAAGATGTGGACAGAATCTTTGTTCAAGCTTTTGTTGAGCAACCCATACTGCACACAGGATCAGCACAGCTCAGAAGTCACAGTTTCTCGTCTGGGCTAGCAAATGGAACCATGGATAGTTCCAATTTGGTGACTCTGGCAAAAGGAGAACTATAAAGAGAAACCCCATTTCACTAGACTTAAGAACAGCTCTGAGATGCGGACAGTGTTTGTTTTACGTGGCCCGCACGACCCAGCACAGGTGCTTCATAAATGTCTGCTAATTGAGCTCAGCTGCCACACACAGCCAGGCCCTGGATGACAGCTGTCCCAATAGTTAAATGCGTGACAGTGTTGGGAGGAGCACAGATCATCGAAAATTCCTTTTCAAAACCATTTAGCTCATGGTCCTAAACATCACCAAAACAACTGGCAGGAGGACAGTCGTCCTTCCTTCCTCCCCCTGTACTGGGAGGGATACTAAGATCCAATGAAATGGACAGAAGACGGACTGCAGACGGCTTGACTCCTGAACTCGCCTACAACAAAGATGGGGGCCTGAAATAGCCCAGAGTTCTGTACATTTTCTGTTTCGTAATTTGCTGACTTCGTCCTGATATTCCTCATGAGCATCCTGAATGCCACCATCAAGCGCACAGTCCCATAAGGACGTTCACAGATAACTGAGTCGGGGTTCAGTCAATATCCAGGGCTGACTGAGGCAAAGTAGGCACCCACTGTCAGGGTGGGGCCAACGTGCCCAGGGAGTTTCACTCCCTCAGTGAGCTTGAGCCACTTGCTGAGTGCTGAGAACTACCTCATGAGCTAGTCAAACGCTTTGTGCCTAGTAGGGAAACAAGGATTTGGGCACAGGAACATCTGCAAGTCACTGCTGAATTTAGTAAGAAGGATTTGGGCCAGGAGTGTTTACTCAAATAAAGCAGGCAGGGGTGAGAATTCAAAGAGCCAAGAAGAGCTCTCTTTGTCTTTTTTTTGAGTCAGCAAATACCGGATACTGTGGGAGAGGTGGCTGAAATGATGTAGCTGAAGGATGACCACAGTGCTTGCTGAGTGGACATGAAAGTCTCTAATTAGATGGTCAGTGGTAGGAGGGCAGAGCTGGGTTCACATTCTGCCCCAGTGTGAACAAACACTTCCTGCTTTTTGATGAGACCATCTGCTCAGAAGTGATATAGTCAAAGGGTTTAATCTAAGAGATCACCAGTGCCACCTCAGTTTTCCCTTTGAAGTTGGGCAGCCAGAGTTGTTCAAAGAACAGAATCCTTGAACTCAAAGTTCAGGGCCCGTGAGACGGATCCAGACCAAATCAGCCCTTCCCTGTGTCTCTGTGAACTTATTATGAACTACTCTGAGGCGGTTACTCTCTATCTGTTTCCAGAGGCCTGATTTCCCTAGAGTGGCTGGAATCTCACTCCTGGAAGATGAGACTCCCAGGGCTGAGGTGACTCTTCCAGCTGATGACCGGTCACACAGTCATGATCTCTGGCACAGGCTGGAAGCTTGGGTGCATGGGAACATATTGTGTTTGCCCTGGAAACTGGTCCAGTCTCCCCAGTATGCCTGCACCACCATAGCAGGCCACACACGTTACCACGGACAAGCACTGGGATTTGCTCCACGAGGCCTGACCCTTCTGGTATGAGTCTAATTATCTTACTGCTCCCACAAACGTCTCACTCTGAACCAGTCCTCAACTGCCAACCCAACACTACTCCCTTCTCAGCTCCCCAACCCCACCCCAGTAAGGGCAGCTTTGGTCTCCTTTAGATTTATGTCTTAGCCACTGGTCAAAGTGGAGAGACCCTCAACCCTAAGCAAGGCTCCTGTGCTTTCCTCCTCTTTGGAGCAAGGAGAACTGCACGATGCTGCAAGAAAAGCTAATCTACGGTTAATTCTTGTGAGAGATGAAGTGGGCCCGGTTTAAACCATCAAAGGCTTTCTGCAGGGCCGGTTTATTGTTACCTAAGTCACACTTTGTGAAAACTCCACAGAAGACTCCTTTTTAAAAGCACAGGTCCCTGCCCAGATATTCTGAGGGTGAGTGTCCAGGGTGAAGGGATGGGATAGTAGCAGGCAGACAGCAGCCTCTGCTGACCCTCAGACACTCTTCCTGATGGACTGTCCATCCCTTGGACAGATGGCACACTGTCCCTTTGAAAGGTATCCTCAAAGGGACGATAACAATTATTCTAACAACTCAAGGATGGCAAGGCTAACTACTCCCAGATAAGACAGAGATTTCTCCTAAGACACAAAAGGCACCTTTAGAAATTCCTCCTGGGAAAGAGACACCACACAGGCCAACCAAAACCAAACCCACTGCCCCTGAGTTGATTTGGACTCAGAGTATCCCTGTAAGGGAGCAGACAGCCTCCTTGGTCTCTCTCAGATTGGCTAGTGAGTTTGAACTGCTCAGGCCCAAATACCAGGTGTACCCTGGTATCTAGTTTCAACATGTTGGACTTTCAGAATGCAGTCTCTGAGTTTGCCAGTGAGTCAACTTCACAATGGAGAAGGGGGTCACTCAAGCAGAGGAGGTGACCTTCAGAGAAAGGAAAAGAGAGACCTGCACTAGCATCCACTCCCCGGAACAACTGCCCAGACCTAACATGATGCTGACGCTCCCTGTATAGCTCCAGCTGGGGCACCGAGACGCCAGTGCTCACAGCTCTTTATCTCTGCTATGTCCCTATCTGCAGTGGGATCTTCACAGAACAGTAAAATTACCTACTCCTGGAGTGGCGCAGATGATTTGGGAAGGTCCCAGATGACCTGAACCCCAGAGTCCACCTGAGGGAAGTGGAAGGACATTGAGTGTTTACTGTTTTACACGCCACTCTTAGTTCACCTAACACTGATGTGGACTCTCATGCTCAGATCATGAGAACAATGCCCCTGGCCCTGCTCTCTGGGATAGTTTATGTAAACAAAAGTCACTCCCAGTGGCTTCTTTTCCTTGCTCATTTTGGATGACTTTTAATCATTTAAGGTCAGTTCAAACCAAATTAAAGATGCCTACATAGCCTACCATTCTCTGGCCCAAAAAATGAGTGAAGGCACTTCCTCCCCATATACACAAAGAATAATGTAAACAAAAATTTCAAAGGAAAAACAAAACAAAACAATGAAAATAAAAGGATGTTTAAAAGAAATATAAACCAAAGAAATTTATTGGTGTTGACAAAAATACATAATACAAAAACAAAACAACACAACAGAAATGAAGCCAGAAACCCCCCCCCCCCCCCATGACGGCATGCAATCCCAGCAGCCACCCAGAGCCTCGCCCTTAGTTCATGAGGACCTCCATCTGCACCAGTCTCGCATTGGTGTCCCCAGACGTCCGGTAGGGTATCATCCCAGCAAAGGTGATCAGAGCTCGGGCTTGACCACGGAGTTGCTGAGAGAAAGGGGAGGCAGATAAAAAAACAGGTTAACTTCCAAATCATGGTAATGTACTGAGAGTGGCCACCATCCTGCTCCATTCTCCACCTTGTGGCACCAGGGCAGATGCCTGGTGGGTGGATGAGAGTCTCACTCTCCACTGTCATCTTCTCCAGCATGGCAGAGAGTTAGGGCCCCAGGTCCAGCAGGCATCAAAGCCCCTCTACTGAGCTGAAGGTGAATGGGTTTGCCAAGCCAGCTGCCTTTGCCCCCCGGCCCCCCACAGCTCTGTGCTTCAGAACTGCCTCTCCCACTTTCCCAAGCCTCTCTCCTGGCTGGTTTCTTCTGCCCACCTGCGTCTGTGGGGACCTGTGTTTCCAAGCTCCCCTTGAGGCAGAGGCACTGGCTGTGACAGTGGGCAGCCCCATTCCACTCTTGCCCTCCCCAGCCTCTCTTTCCTTCTGTTTCTCCCTTCCTTGCATCAGTGCTTGGTTCTCTTTCCCCAGCAACAGTGCATGCGGAGTGGTTCCAGGAGGGAAAGAGACAGCTCTAAGAATTTAAACCCAAGTGTTTCCAGTAACAAAAGACAACCTTCACTCTGATTTCCAAGTGATAAATTACTGAATAAGGAACCAGCAAAATTTAGAACAGCTTCAGATGACTGCTTCAAAAGAACTGCTGCCCCATACTCAAGTATGCTGGATGCTCCTATCAGGAAGAAGCTGTCTCTGGAATAGAAGAGAGTCTACAAAAGGGTTGTTTACTAGCCTTGATAAAAATGCTCACTGATGAAAGCTCACCAATAACCTTAAATTCAAAGAGGGGCAGGAAATTCTCATGTAATCAACGGCAAATTTGCATTCCGCTTGACTTTTTAAATAAGTGAGTGTCACTGGCCCAGCACAGTTTTGTCTTTAGCTCAAGAGCAGTGATCCCCTTAATGTTCAAGCACCTCCGCTAGCAGGCATCCAGGGAAGAGTGCCGTTTCCGGTCACATGGTTTCATGAGATACAACAGACAATGGACCAGAAAGGGGTTTTTCAGCAATGGTTCTCAAGAACTCAGAGATCTTACAGAGTCGCGGTCCTCGATGACTCGTTGTGGCCTGGTCGCCGACGAAGGACTCGTCCCCTTGAGCCTCTTAAACTGTGTGAACAAGATGTTCATGGTGGCGAGAAGCACTTCCGAGAGGTTGTGCCTGATCTACAGAGAAGACAACACAGAATAAGGAAGGAAAAAGAACCAAGTGCCCCAGGTCAGCAAATAGGTGGAGGGAGACAACCACTCCCAGGTGGTCCTGGTCATACCACATCCCCTTAAAGAGCTACAGAGCCATCAAAAAGGAGCTGATGATACTTATATATCAAAAATGAGGGCAAGCCCCAGACAGAGGGCAAGAGGCCTGTCCTCCTAGGCAGGGTCTGTGAGCCAACGGCACGTGGACCAGTGGCCAGCAGATTCAGTAACAAATACAGCTGGCTCTGAATGTCAGTCCCACCGCTCCACGGCCTCAGACACACTACAGGGTCTCTGATAAACGTGCAAGGCCTGAGTGGCTACTAGGACAGGCCTTGGTACACAACTTCAGCCCAGGATGCAAGGATGATGTTTCCAGAAAAAGATGGGAAACAACACAGGAACAAGGGGCTGAGGGTAGAATTCCAGGGAAGTCAGTGAGGGGCAAGACCTTTGACCTGAATGTGCCACAGTGGACACCCACCCGACAAAGGCAGAAGTTGGCCTCACTCCTTCCTTTAAAATGGAAAAGTCTTTGTTTTATGAGTAACATTCCAGACCCAGGCAGCTGACCCTGAATGTTTGTGGCTCTAGAGGTTAGCATGGCTGCACCTGGGAATGAGGACTTGTTGAAACCCTCCTGTTGATTTCAGTGTGCAGCCAGCTGAGCACCAGGCTAGGCAGTGGTCCTGGGGTCCTGGGAGGATCACATAGTCCAGGGCCACTGCACTTGCTTCTTTTAGACAAAACAGTTCGGGGAGCCAAGGGTTGCAGGGAATCATGATGTAGGTTTCACACACCCAAAGGAACATATCAAGAAGATCAGAGTTAAGCATGTTCTTGGGAAAAACTTAGCTAAGCACTAAAACATCATCTAAAACAAGTAGCTTATAATAGAATTAGACCAGACCTCACAGGGTCAACCAGAAACCTGTTTCTTCCAAGAACATCTTCAATCACTTAAGCCTGCATTTTCTGGGTCAAGAATTAGGACAATAAACTGATGGGGAGGATGTGTGTCTTCACAGAAAACCAGCCCAGGGCATTTGAAATTAGATGAGTCTTGGAAATCCCAGTCTTTACGGCCATCGTAACTAGAGCTCTTCCAGTTACCACTGTTGTTTATGTTACTGAGTGTCACGGAGTCAGTTCTGACGCATGGTGACTCTGTCTGGGGTTTTTGAAGAGCGGCTGGTAAGCTTGAACTGCTAACCTTGGGGTTCAAACTGAGCTTACAGTCCAGCGTATTAACCCACAGTGCCACATGCTCTTAACAGAAGTAGAAAAACAAATTCCATAACTCAGGGAGAAAAAGACTCACTTCATCACTGAAGTTCCTGAAGGCAGCCACTCTCTCTTCCACACTTTCCTGATTCAGGGGTACCAACTTCAAGCGATCAATGATCTGTTTAAAGCAAAAACACAAACCCCACAACCCCATCTGACATAAGCCATCACAGACACTTCCTCCTCTTCTACCAAGTCCATTGAAGACTTCTCGAGCAAGCACACACAAAGGCTCTGATTCTAACGTACTAACTGCATTCTGAGGCTCCTTTTCTGAAGCAATTAAAAAAGTCAGAGTTATCAATTTACTTTGAGAAACTGCTCTATTTTCAGATTAAGGGGGAAAGGAATAGAAAAATGGAAAAAGAAAAGCTCAACACAGAATTCCCCTTTAAATTCTAAAGCTGTAGCTGTCCTTCCTCATTTAACAGGCATCTTGGTGGAATTTCCTTTGTTTTAAATGAACTCCAATGAGTGGCTTGAATTTTTAAGGGCATACATTAACTTGCACTTCAAACATCCCTCCTGAAACTTACATCAAAGGCTCTGTCAATATGACCACTGTGATATTCATCAAAAAAGGTGATCAAGTCCAACAGAAGATAGAACGTGGAGTCCACAAATTTATTTGCGCTTATTCCCTGAGCCCTGTACCTAGAAGACAAAAAAGGGGGCAGGGACATGTTATAAATTTTTGCACAATCCTAAAAGTAGCATATAATTTGAAAAGCATCAAAACTTCTTGAACTGTCTGGGCTAGGGGACTTAAGGAGAGGAAGACACTGTTTTGAGGCATCCAGGGTACAAATCCACCTACGGACACTTTGCAGAGTGTTGTTCTCCTGCCTCAACCACTGTGTCAGCACCCAAATCTCCAGGAGGACTGGGAGTACCGCCGTGCACAAAAAGCCATCCTGGTGGTTATTTGCAAGTGGAGACACCCCATTTGCCAAAGAATGTTCTTTTATGTTATCCTGGGAAGGCACCCAGGCCCAGTTTCCTCTGGGTCACTTCATTAGGAGTTATCTGTAGAGGGCACCAAACAAACCCTTTGTCTCAGTCTGGAAGCAAAACTGGGGAGCTAGTCTGTTAGTTCAGTTAACTCACTGTTAATTCTCTTAAGAATTCCCCATCTGTCCATCAATAGCGTTGTTCCAAAGTGCCTTTGAGATGTGTCATCAAAATCTATCTACTGTAGCAGTATATAAATGAGCAGAAGGCCTAAAGTTAAATACCAAATGCTGACAGTGGCGTGGAGCAATGGAAACACTCATACACTGCTAGTGGGATGGTGAATTTAGGAGCAGCTCTTTGGAAAACTGTTTGCTGTTACCTAGAGAAATTGACCAGCACTCATCTGTCAGTGTATCACATCATGATTGGCTTGTGTGTTGCTGTGATGCTGGAAGCTATGCCAATGGTATTTTAAATACCAGCAGGGTTCAATCTTGTGGACAGGTTTTAGCAGAGTTGAAAGACTAAGACAGGCAGGATAAGGAGAGGTGGACCACTTCTGAAAGGTTGGTCACTGAAAACCTTATGAATAGGAGAACACTGGGTGACGATTTTATTCGAATCCACAGTCAATACTCACAGAAGCAACAGTTAAGAAATCAAACAACGTATTGCATTTAGGAAAATTTGCGGCAAAAGAGCTCTTTAAAGTTTGTAAGAGCAAAGATGTCATTCTGAGGAATAGGTATGCCTGACCCAAGTCTACATGTGAAAGCTAGCCAATGAATAAGAAAGGCGGGAGAGAAATCCATTTGAATGATGGTGTTGATGACGAAGACTGACTATACCACAACAATGAACAAATCGGTTTGGGAAAAGCATGGTTAGGTCACTCTGTGGAAGAAACAAAGGTGAGACTTTATCTCTGGTACTTTGGACATGTCAGGAAGACCAGTCCCTGAAGAAGGGCATCATGCTTGGTAAAGTGGAGGGTCAGCTAAAAAGAGGAAGACCCTCAATGAGATGGATTGGCACAGTGGCAAGAACAATAGGCTCAAACATCACTGCACTTGTGAGGCTGGTACAGGACGGGGAGTATTTCATTCTGTTGTACACAGGGTCGCTATGGGTCAGAACTGACTCAATGGCACCTAACAACAACAGTGAAACTGAACATGTATTTGTGTCCTAAAACTCACTAGCGTCAAATGGACTCTTACTTTTAGCAACCTGTAGGACAGAGTAGAACTGCCCCCTTAAAGGTTGTTAATCTTCACAAAAGCAGATTACTACATCTTTCTCCCATGGAGTGGTAGATGTATTTGGATTGCTGACCTTTTGCTTAAGCACCATGCCACCAGGATTCTTCTATTTATGCCCCTGTACCCTATAATTTCACTTTGAGAAAAACTCTTGCACATGTGTACAAAGAAACACAAGAGAAGGATTTCCACCTGTACACTGCCAGTTCAACTCAACTGTCCACAAGCACTGGAACAGATGGCATTTTGGTATATTCTTACTGATGAAGAGCAAGGACCACAGCCTTCAGTATGAGTTACAACTCGACATAAAGAAAACAGAAAGCCTCACAGCTGGACCAATTAGCAGCATCACAATAAACAGAGAAAAGATGAATGTTGTCAAGGATTTCATTTTACCTGGATCCATAATCAATGCTCATGGAAGTTAAAAAAAAAAAAAAAAAAATCAAAGGCTATATGGCACTGGGCCAAAGGTCACTTTAAAGTGTCAAAAAGCAAAGATGTCTCTTTGAGGACTTAGGTGTGCTTAACCCAAGCCATGGTATTTTCAATGACATCGCAAACACATGTACACATGCAAAAGCCGGACAATGAATAAGCAAGACTAAAGGAGACTAAAGCTTTTGAATGGAGGATAGTGAATGTGTTGGTGGAGAATATTGAATATGTCATGGACTTCCAGAAGAACAAACAAATCTCTCTTGGAAGAAGTACAGCCAGACTTGATCTCATGTACTTTGGACATGTTATCAAGCAGAGACCAGTCCCTGGAGGAGGACATCACACTTGGCACAGGAGAGTCCGTGTAAAAGAGGAAGACCCTCAAAAAGCTGGACTGACACAGTGGTTGTAACAATGGACTCAAATATAGGAGGATGGGGACGGTACAGAACCAGGCAGTGCTTCGTTCTGTTGGACACAGGGCTGCCAACAATCAGGATCCCCTCAATGGTACCTAACAACAGGGTCTATTTATACGATGGAATAATACCCGGCAGGTAAAATCAAATCAAATCTTTATGGTTAATGAGCTGGACTGCAAGGTTGGTGGTTCAAGCTCACTAGCTACTCCTCAGAAACCCTATATAGGGTCGCTATGAGTTGGAACCGACTGGACGACACTTAACAATAACATGTATATCAATATGCCTAGACCTCAAAAATAATTTTGAGTAACAAAACAAATGGCAAAGTGTTATACTTAATAATGACAGCATTTATGTAAATTCAAAGCAACACCAAAACCAACACTCTACACTGATCGTGAGTACATACACACAGAGTGGAAGTATATGAGGAAGACTTGTTTATTAACACAGGTGAAAATCCCATCATCAGAAGGTTTGTTACAAGGAAACTTCCTCCATAATGAAATATTTCAGAGCCCAATTCTTTAGAGCAATAATCAAGACAATAAAATTCCAGTCTCATGGAATTATCTGAATAATCTATGAAGTTTTGTGTGATGAGGGAAGGAGAAGGAGGTCGAGAAGAGATGAAAGGAATGGTACATCTAGGCACTACTGTAGAGAAAATGAACCAGAGACCTAAAGGGTAACATGCTCACACCAGGCCACTTTAGAAAGTTAAGCTAACAGGCTGTCACTGAGGATTAATGGTCATATGAAAACGAATGCGTTGGTCTAAGCACCAATAATGTTTGCTCTGATTAAGGTTATCATTTTGAAATGGTCCTAAAATCAAACCCTCACATCCCACAGTGTCTTTGGAAACACTCTCCACTCCAGCCATCTCAGCTACGTCTGCCCAACAAATCAGAGTCACCCCCAAAGGCCTGGGTGGGCACCCTTGACTGGGCAGTGGCACTGGGCCCTTAGGATCCTGCTGAGCCAGAGCCTGGCCTCACCGTTCGGCGATGGAGAGCGCCATGTTCTTTAGTCTCTCTCGGTTGGACTGCGGTGCGCTGATGTGGGGGACCACGGGGCTGAGCAGTTTGTTCATCAGCTCCAGCACCTTGTCAGCATTCTGGTCAGTTTTTAAAAACAAAGAGCATAATCAATACAGAGAAAAATAAACTGAATAATCAAAACAAGACAGAGAACTTTCTGGGGTGATGGAAAGAACTGTTCCACATCTTGAAAGTGTACACAAAATTCATCCAGCTGTACACTTCAGATACGGGCAGGTTTCTGTGATGTTTAACAATACTTTAATCAAAATCATTTTTTAAATTAAAACAAATAAAAAGACCCCACGGATTACAACCCTCTCTTGGCTTATTTCCACTTGATAAAAAGATCAGCAGTCATCATCTGTTCTGAGTTAGGCACAATGGCATGTACACCAGGAGTGCCCCCACCTCCATGTGATGCTCACTCGTTCTTGCTGCCAATTGAGACGGCAGGTCAATGCCTGCAGGGTATCTTTCCAATAGGTTGCTCTCATTTAGCCAGAAATACCTTATGGGCATAAATAATTCTGTGAAATAGCAATATCCCCCTGACTGGCCCATTAACTGCCTAAGTGCTAGGAGAAAATATCTCAGCCAAGAGAGTAGCACAACATACAACCCTGGCCTCATCAAAATGTTTGTGCATTTAATGCCAAAAGGCTGGCACAGCTATTAAGTGCAGAAGAAGGAAGGGCACATTTTACCTTGGCAAGGTCATAAAGCTTTGCTGCTTCTTCAAACAGTCCTTTATTTTCTGCCACGGAAGCAACTTTGTTGATAATAGGCTTTGTGTCACTAGTAAACTTATCTATGACTCCAGGCTGACAAGACAAATTATGGAGGGAGAGAGGGAGAAGGGTACACAGAGCAGTTATTTTAAACACAGAGACACAACTGAGATCTGAAAAAGACCTGAACTGAAAATGCTTGCCCTGGGCAATGCCCATCTTTTGTGAGTTTGACTCTAGCTTTCTGGAAGAGAGAAGGGCTTCTGAGAAATAGGAAAGGGGTGGGCTCCCTGGGAGGGCACAGGGGCTAGTGGGAAGACACCTGTGCATCTAAATGTCCAAAATGACCCCAAACAACCACTGCTGGCGAGTCAATTCTGGCTCAGGCTATAAATTTTGAGGGAAGCAGACAGTGCTATTTTTTTCCCAAGGAGTAACTGGTGGGTTAGAACCAGAAAACTTTCGGTTAGCAGTTCAACAGTTAACCCACTGTATCACCCTTAAATGACCCCTTGGGTAGGCGAACTCGACAATGATTTTACATCTGCTGATGAGTAAGACACTAAGGGGAAAATCAGGAGGTCGAGAGAAAGTACCAGGAAGATCCTGAACATGCTTCCCAAGGCAGACAGCATGAGACACTCAGTGCTGAATAGTGCACGACAAGTGGGGTCCAGTTTAAACGAAATCATCATCGCCATTTCACAGCGACCGAGTGGTCAGGAGAGTCTGAGACGGCTATTAGGAATCACACAACTAAGGCAGGTCACATGACGTCTCTCACTCAGTGCTGGACTCCTAGGACTAGACTAAGTCAGGTGGCCTGACCCCACCACCCTGAAGACAGCAGAGATGTCATAAGAGGGTTCTGGGGTTGGAAGGTCTTGGTTCAAATTCCAGCTCCCTGCGATCTTCGGGAAAAGGATTAACCTCTTTAGTCTTAATTTCCTCAGCAGAAACACAGGAATAACAGCAATTTCTACTCTGTTAGTGTAGTGACCCACATAAAGTGCTTAGTACGGTGCCTGGCACCTGCCATCACCCAGTCAGTACCATCACTGTCCTCTCTTCTGATTTCTTTGAAATTGCTGAAAATTGAGTCCCTGAAAAGAGCAAGTCACCTTCCCAAAGCCACAGGGAGAGTGCCTTGGGCGGGACTGAGACCCTAGTCTCTGATGCCAAGGTCTCTGCCCCTTCTGCTCTGCTGCCCAGTGGGTACCACAGGTCTCAGGGGAATCACTGAGGCTCATGGAAACAGGTGCACTTCAGTGTTGGTATCAGAAAGTACCTTTCGAGAAGGATCAAATGCATTTCTAACTTTTCCACCTGGGGACAGGGGAAAGGGGTTGTTACAGCACTCACTCACTTTTCCTTGCATAATTTCGGAGCTGAGAATGGCAGAACTGCAGCCTTCACAGCTCAAAAATAGTAGGCAAGAGCAGCTAAGTATTCTGAACAAAACAAAAAGAGTTAAGATATCTAAACGCAGATTGTGTATTTTAAAGAAAGATATTATGCGTGTAAAATCAAGGTCATTTTGGTCCCACAATTTTCTTTTTTTTTTTTTGGATCTTCTTCTTTTTCAAATTAAGCAGTTAAGTTCAAATTTTCATCTTTAGCACTGAGTCCTAAAATCCTAAACCATCTTTGAACAATGATAACCCCAACTACAGACCGATAGCTCTTTAGGGAGGCATTTCACCCACCTTTCTGCTTCCATCATTCTCTAGTTTCCCCAGAATCATATCAAACTGTGGAGACAAAACAAAGTTTACTCAATTTACTGGACAAGGACTAACACAAGTAGCCCACAATTTCTCTGAGCCAAAACTGGGGAAGAAAATAAAAAAGGTAGGAGAAATCTTACAAATACTAGAAAACAGTAAGATTTTCATTGTTAGAAACCAAGGAAAACTCTGACAACCACCTAGGTCAGCTCTACCCTAACCACCAGAGGTGAACATACAGCGTCACCTTAGTGTAAGAACAGACACTGAAACTGGGGGAGAGAGGGAAAGAGGAACCAACATACCTCTCGACTTTCTATCACCAGTTCGCTTACGCAGCGCAAAAACATGTTTTCTCCTTGACTATCTTTCTCGTCCCTAAAATGGGGCAGAAGCAGGTTGGTTCCTGGGATGGATGCAAGACCTCTAATAGTCATTTGCAGAATGGCAGGAATCAAAACTAGCAGAAGTTTTACCTGAGGAAGTAAAAGTACTGGAGGGCTTCCCTCGGGTCTGTGGATTCAAACTTGCGTGTGTAGAGCATGAGCAGCCGCACGAAGTTCAGCCGCCGCATGCAGGGAGGGTCTCCAGGCTCATGGCTGACTGCACCGTGGAAGACAGGAGAGGTCACAACCACACTACTTCACTGGCCCTTATAACCCAGGAGCCATAGACGTTGACTCCAAAGACATCCACACCTACAGCCCAGCCTAGTCTACTGTGTCCTGGATTTTGTTTCCAGTACAGAATAGAGAGCCCTTGTAGGAAACAACTAAGCATACTGGTGTCTGGATGAAGCAGTGAGGACTACTGTCCACAGCAGTGTGTACTCTGGGATGTTCCTGCTGCCCTCCTCCTTCCCTAACACCCCACTCCCATACAGGGATGCACAGGGGATGGCTGGTTGAGCTTTCCAATGCCGAGGTCCTCATGGGAACCAGACTCCGGAGACTCCAGAGATGGCTTCTCCTGCACCATTCTCCAGGCAACCAGACCGACTGGTCACGTGGTATAGCACTTTGTGTGTTTTGCTCTGCAGGGAATGTTAGGGGGCTCTGCCCATGGGTGATATGTTGTGGTCACACTGCTGCCAGCCTAGTCCCCAGTACTCACGGAGCTGGGCACTCTGTCCAGAGGACTTTAAAAGCAGCTTCAGCTCAAACAGCACCAGGGCCACATGGACAGCATGACAGCGCAGCCGCTCCATCCGGAAGAGAAAGGCGATTGCAGCTTCAAACTGTGCCGTCAGGAACAGGACTTGGAAGTATAGGAAGGGCTGCTGGTTCACCGTGAAGTGGGATTCCCCTGGAAAACGAGAGACGAAGGCCGTTCAGATTGAAGGGGCCTCAGCTCCAGGCAGCTTGCCTATGATTAAAGGACTTAGTGGATGTATGGGCCTGTCTCAATGAAGGGTCCTTGGGCACACGAACCGTCCACCACACACCCTCACAATACCACTGGCAAGTGGGGAGCACATTGTCAAACCCTAACCATTGTTACTATGGAGAGAAGCAGAGCTAAGGACCCTCAGGGAGACTGCCAGATGGTTGTTCATCTCTTTTACCCTGAGAAGAGGCAGTCAACAGGTGAGGAATGAAGATGTCTCAGCTACTCATATTTCTAGAAATTCGAATGCAACAACTGCTTACTATGAGCTGGAATCCTAGATTCTTTGCTTCCAATGATTTTTTTTTTTTCATTTATTTATTTTTTCTTTATTTGAGTATCTCTCCCGTATTTAATGGAAATTAATATTTACAGGATGCATTTACATGGACAGGAACCATGACCTTTTGTAAGAAAATAAAATAGTACATTTCCTTCTATTTCTTTCAACATTTACTTTATAATCCAATCTATTTCTGTCTGAAAATTGACCTCCAATGATTTTTAAACAATGAGGAGTAGAGGGAAAACAGAGGAAAGTAGGGAGTAAGTGAAGGCAGAAACAGGGGGCACTATACTCAGTGACAACACCTACTAAGAAGCAACAGCCGAACCCTCTCTCTGTCTCTCCTGCACAAAGCCCACCAGAGCAGTTACAAGAGTGAGGGAACCAGTTGATTGCGTGTGGTCATAAAACTCGTCTGTACTTCTGAAAGCCACACGGCCACTACTCTCTCGTTTTCCCTGGGGAGTCATGGAGATATTTTAGTTTGTTTGGTTTTGGTTGGGATGTTTTTTAAAGAGCCTCATATATATAATTAATGTGGGCCTCATATATATATACATATATATATA